TGGGGGAAAAGAATGTAAAATATAAATAAAAATAACGCGAAGGCATGCAAAAGTTTGTTCCTTTTGGAATTGAAAATCAGTGCCTTTTAATTAAAAAGTAGCTACTGCGGTGCGTGGTCCTCCTGTTTTTTTGTAGATGTGCTGGGTGATTGCAAAGGTGCTGCCTGTCCATCCGGCTGGCGTTTCAGGTTGCAATGCGGTGCCTGCAGCTTTTGGAGGTTCTTCTGCTCCTCGAAGAGAGTAAATTCTGCTTTTGGTGGCAGGGATTACCTTGGATGTACAATGGTCTGAGGGAAAAAAAATGTTACATATATTTATGGATTTTCTGTGTTTTCATATACATTGCATTTTTCTGTCTTTGAAGTAAAGATGGAAAAAGCAAAACGGCATGCTGGAATTACAGAGGGGTTTTTTTTTTTGATAGTCATTTTTATTGAGCTGGAGGTGATCAGTATTAATAAATACGACAGTATTTATTGGCGGCATTGTTTTATGTTTCTGACCACACATAACCATGCTGCACTAACAAACAGTGCCAGTCTTTAGATTAAACCAGTTTGTCCCTGTCCTGATTTATGAACGTGCTGCTTTTGCGGGGGGGAGGGAAGAGAGGGCTTTTTTCTTCTTTTATTTATTTATCGCACTAAGCCGTCTAACCAGTTTGGGGGTTTTTGCTGGTCTTCTTTCCCCAAGCTCAAGGGTGGAATTTCACTTCCCTTTCCTGGGCACGGGTGAGGTCTCGCAGGGTTCTCCCTGTTCGCTTCCCGAGCCGGCTCTGCTGGTTATCCAGCGCAGGGAACTCGGAGCTGCGCGTTCCCCGTTCGCTCCGATACCCCATTCGTTCCAGGAAATCCAGGCATGTTAAAATGCAGCCTGTTTTTGTTCGCTTTTGGGCAGGCTCTACCTGGAAAACCTTTTAGGATAGAAGGTAAGTTTTTAGTTTTGTTATATAGAAAAAGGGTTACGCTACCGAGAAGCCTGGAGGAAAGTGTTTGGGTCTTCTGTAATGTGAGAGAAATTACCTCTCTGTGCTGTGTTTTGACTTACCTCCCTGTTAGTTCATTCCTATTTATTTGCCTCCAGCAGCTAGATTGAGATCAGATGCAAGATCTCAACTTTTTGCTAGAAAGTGGCATGTTTAGAGCCAGCGCTACAGGCAGCTTCCCCAATTGCCGGGGCTGTTTTTCCCCTGCTAACGCAATATTTGCCCTCTTTTTGGAAACAAAAGTGCTTTCTTTGATTTAGTTGACAACTTCAAATGATAGGAGGATAAAAAACCAAGACATAAGTAGCTATTATGAGCTAATATTGTTTGGAGGCCTGTTTGCTAGTGCAGCGTAAACATTTTCATTGTAATGCCAATCTTTAATGTTAAACATGTAGTAATTATGTACCATGTTTGCTTTTAAAAATCCTGATATTATCTAGTAGATAGAGATTGTCCTTACAGACAATACTGGGGAATCCTAGTGGACGGTTCGTAAGGTATCCTGTGGCTTATCCGCAATTTCTGTCACAAAAATGGGCTTTGCATTCGAAAAGAAAGGCAGTCTTTTTGGTTCTGTATCAAAAGCACAATTTAAGAAGCAAGAAACCACCACTTTGGTTGTTAAAATCGATGTCACCAGCCCTTAAACCCTTTTGCAAGCAGTGCTGTGTCCTGGTGATTTTCAAACCATTTAAAAAAGAAAAGAGTGTGGACAAATTACAAAATTAATAATCCAGGTTATAAAATCTCAGAATGATGATTGTGTTTAGGCAATCTGGTAATTTTTATTTCTGTGCTCACAGAGTATCATCCAGAAGTAACAGTGTTAATCAATGAATGAGAAGTTGCCCCTTTTTAAATCAGGTTGACCATTCCTAAATTATGTCTTTGAGTTATTGTGTCAGTTTAAAAGGTAGGTAGCTAAAATGAAGACACAATTGTCAGCTACTTTTGGATACCCATTTAAAAAAAAATCTTGCTTGAATTTGCAGTTTTTATCACTTTGCAGCAGTTATTTTGGAGTGGTGTTGCATACAGTATTTCTGCAGAGAATGGAGACCACATATACTTAGTTTAAACACTGAGAAATACTTTAAACACTGGGGAGTACTTTGGTCGTCAATGAAAACATCAATTTCTGTGACTTCACCAGCATAATCCAAGAGAGAACAGATCAAACGAGTATGGGCAGTCGGGTCTCCTACTGGTGAAATCACTCCTTTTTGATCTATGGTTTGATTAAACCAAATTATCTTTCAGAGATCACCAGCTTGCAGGTACCAATCTGATGTATTATCCTTTTTGATTCTTTGGAAATTCCCAACTTTATTTTTAGGTGCTGCTTCTGAGCAGACATCCAGCCTTTCCACGTCAGAAGTCATTGTTCCTCAAAGCCTGACAGGCAGGGAGAACCATCACCCGCATTTTCATGAGGTTTGTTGCTCTACATACATTTTTCTTCTGGTTTTCACAATGTTGCCCTACATTACATATACACACAAAGTGCACAAAAACTCACTGTACTCTCAGTTAGTGCCTTTCAAACTGCTAGTCCTGCAGACAGCCTGTAAGACACCCAGGGGAAGGAACATGAAGCATTTTGCCATTTCCACCAAGTCAAACTAGATGCTGCGTTCAAGCTTGAACTAAGAGCCCTCCCTATCTGTTCCTTACACGTTGTATATGGTCTTTGGATAAACACAGGATTTCACTTTCTAACACCTACAGGGCTGATACTTGCGTTGTACAAGTGGCCCCATACAGTAGTACAGATAAAACGAATGAGTTACGAGAGTAAGATTTAAGCCTTTAGTTCTGCTAATTTACCTTTGTGCCTCAGATACAGAGCTCAATTACTGAAATAACCAATAATGAGATAGTCACCTTTGTACATACTGCTTATCAAAAAAAAAGAATTTGTGAGTCATTCATCTGCCTGCTGCTGCTTTGCACAAGGAGTGTCACAGAACATTATGTGGCAACTTGGCAGCATATTTCCCCTATGCCCTGCCTGGGATGTGAATCAGACTCCCTTTATCCACACTGTAATTACTTCCTCTCCCTTCATTTCATCTACTCCCAAGTCTCTAAAACCATGGCATGGTCATCTAGATTTAGCTTTCCTAATATATCTTTTTGGTTCTTTCAAATGCCTTATTTCTTGCATTTTTCCTGTTGAATCTGCATCCTGTATGTATTCCCTCTATACATTTCTAATGTTAGACACAATTATTTTCTTGTGGAGTTTGTTTATCTTTTTTTTTTTTTACTCTTCACAGGGAATTTTAGAGCTTAAATAGAATTTAAAATATCAATTGAAAAGAATGCAGAGTGTGCAACTGAAACTCTAAAATACAAAAAGTATAAGGTTTAGCAGTGTGTGTAGTTGTTTTTTTTTTGTTTTTTGGGCTTTTTTTGAAACAAGTATATACTTAAAACATATACATCTCCATTGCCAAAGAAAACATAGAACTCATACACCCAGGTAGAAAATGTGAATGAGTATTAAGTGAAATTTTTGTTCTATTTGCAGGAGCATTCAGATGACAAACTTTCATATTCAGTTAAAACCAGAAATGGAACATACCACTTAAAACTAAAGAAAAATAAGTATGTGATACATTGAACCTAATGAATCATTCCAGCTTGGGATTTAGTTTGATATAGACAAATATTTTTATGCTGAAAAATGATTGGGAGAAACCTTTTAACTTTCAGTTTGTAGTAATGAAAAAAAAAAAAGTGATGACTAATGGTTGTATTATGCAAATAGAAAGTTTTTTAAAAAAATTTTGCAGCATTTTATCTTAATTTTTTACTATCACCACAACATAGTGGTGATAGTAAAATCAGATTTTCCAAAAAAAAACAGATTTTGGAAAATCATTCAGGAAACTTAGAATTCAGTTTAACTTGAGCTCATTATTGACCTGGGGTGGGGAGTTTTAGACAGGTTGTAACTTGAAGAAACTTGTTTATTTTTGCTGTTCCTCGTTCCTGAGTTCAGATCCTGATATAACATAGCCTGGTCAAATCCTCCTGTATAGATACCTGGGTTAAAATATTTTAAAATAGCCTATTTTCCAAATAGTGTATCTCTTTTAAGCTACTTTGTTTTATGCATATGGAATTTGACAATAATTTAGCATGAGAGTGCTACTAACAGAAGGTAGTACTTATGATTCTTGATTTATGTCTTGCTTTATACTCTGGTAAAAGACTGGGCTTATTTTTGTTTCCAGAAAGCTTGTTAGTGAAGACTTTAGAGTATACACATATGGGAAAAATGGGAAACTGGAGACCATACAATCAAAAATCAAGGTATTCTACCTAATAAAGTTGCTTGTTTGTGTAAGAGTTTCCTCAACTCTGGGAAGCCAGAATTTATACAGTGAAGGTCAATCAATAATTCGTTAGAAATGAGGACTACAAAAAGGTGTATATGTATATCAATGCATTTTCAAAGCAAAAGCAATTATGCAACCATTCACTCTGAATGTCTTCATATCTGCGTGATAGGACAGTGAAAACTGAGTACATTTTTTGGCAGCAGAAGGGAAAGTATAACTGATGCACATGAAGTATCTAGAGAAGAAAAATAAATTTGCTGGAAAATAGATTTTCCTGAGTTCTTACATTTGTCACGTTTATGTTTAACAGTTATGGTTGTTCAAAAACATAATGTTCTGTGTCTTATGAGGGAGCGTGTTTATCTGGAAACTGTATGTGATGATACAACATTACTGTTTCCAAGATATGAAAGGAGACTCGAGAAATTTTTGCCAATGTTGGAGTTGAGCGACCCAGTTATGTTGCCACTACATAGTGCGCAGTTAAAGTGCAGTGGCAACATCAGAGCTCATTAGTTTTGAGGCTCTGAATCAAGGAAGCCTTAAGAATGCTTTTACTTTTAATTTCAACATAAGCATGTGAAACATAAGCAAAACTTAGCTGGGTGCTTCAAGAATGAAAAAGCTCTTTTTGGTGTAATTAATTTAAGGTTTTCTTGCATTTCAGGCACACTGTTACTATCATGGCACTGTTGAAGGAGTTGCTGATTCAATGCTTGCGTTTAGCACATGTGATGGCCTTAGGTATTTTCGCTTTCTTTAAGATAATTAATTGTGCAATACCACAGTAAAAACATTAAAAGTCAGTTTTTGTTGCTATTCATCAAGCAGCAGGAAAAAAAACCACTGTCTTCTGTCTTGTACAGATGTTGTTGATGGGCTGCATTTAGAATTTAGCTTTCAGAGCAATGGGAGTGTTTCAAATGCAATACAGTTACATTAATTTGAGATAAATAAAAGAGCCAAATTAAATTATAAAGGGTGGCGATGTTCTCCCAGCTTCTCCCTGTGGAGTCTTCCCTGTGAGTTGACAAAAAGTCACAGCAAACACAGTGAGCTGTGCCCGTATCACAAGCATGCGCTTCCACTTGTTTAGTTTGATCTTTTTGGACAAATAGGAAGAGTCAAATGTGAAAATTCACCTAAATATCCTTCCCGTATAGTATTAAAGTGAGATACTAGTCAGTAAATAGAGGCATTTCATGGCAATCAGTCGGCGCACTGGTGTTTCAGTTAACATTTGACCTCACTAAGCAGAACAGAAATGCCATTTCAGGTGTTCTGCAAATTTATGCGGGCTGAAATCCTTCAGTTCCCTCAAACACCTGTTTTTGAAGATTTTGTTTCACAAAGTAGTAACTAGAGAATTCCTTTTCTAAGTATAGTTTAAGATGCTGGAAAACAAGGTAATAGCTTCAGAAAGATTCTCTCACAGCAAATGAAGCAGGTGTTTCATAGCCATGGACAAATGCAAAATCATTTTACTTGGCTGCACTTACTACTGCAATACTGCTGTTGCCCTCATAAACACCGTGGTGATTTTAGCCTCTCTTCCCATCTTTAAAGGTATCTTTTTTAGAAAAGCTAGATTACTTATGCTATATGGAGCTTGAAGTGAGACTAGAGATAAGGACCAAAATAGTCCCTTTGCTTCAGCCCTGTATCCACAATTCAGTCTTTTTAATTCAATAATGATTAGACTTCTCTACTAAATGACTTGAGGAGCACACACCTGTGTATGATTATTTTTAAAAAGTTCTATTTTGTCTTTTGAGCTTCTGTTGTGCATTAGAATTTAGCCCCCATACTAAGGTAATTTATTTTAAGATAATAATTTATTTTAACTTAGTAGCATGAAGAGTCATAGTTCTTAAATATTCGTCTTCCATTCACTCAGTCATAATTGTGATATATTTGGTTCTTTTGTGATTCCTAGAGGCATTCTCTACATTGGTGGCCAGTGGTACGGAATGGAGCCACTCAACACGTCCAGCGCATTTGAACATCTTTTTTACCAGTTAGAAGATGTGCAACAAAACCCTTTGTGCTGTGGCGTGCTGAATGACAGTCTTCATCATGCAGAGACATCTGTGAAGCATTCTGTGAAATACCCCGTTCTATCAAACAGCACCTCTAGCAGGGAAAAGCTTTCGAGGGTAAATACAGTTCTGCTTCTCTCTCGAGGACTGTGATCCAAGCCCTTTCCTCACGCTGTCCCAGCACCCAGCTACATATTGATATTTATGTGGAAATCCAAAGCAAATTGATCTTGGAGGCCACATTAAAAATGGACTGATGCATTACAGATAGAAGAAATAGGAATAATGAGAAAAATAAGTTTTAAAAGTAAAACTTATTGCTAATTTACCATACTTTCTAATTACAGGGGAAGCGTGCTGTCCTGCCACAGAAAAGCTATGTGGAATTATTTGTGGTTGTGGATAACAACAGGGTAATCGTTTCATCCACTGCTCAATGCATTTTATTAAATTATTAAAACTTTTCACTGACATTTTCATGTGGTATTTTACAGTTTTTGCTGAAGAAATCTGACTCTGCTGAAGTGCAAAAGGAAGTAGTTGAGCTGATAAATTATGTTGATGGGGTAGGTGAGTTCGGTCATTCAGTAGTTTCTGCTTTATCATAGTTTACAAAAGTATAACCAATATAGTAAATTATACAATTATGTTCTGAAACTCTATTTGATAGTTACTTATCAATGTTTAATATTGTTAAAGAATGTGATGAATCTATACACAAGGCTTGCATCTCATTCTTTGCCTGCACCTCTGCAAGATGATTTTAAACCAGTTCTTTATGATCCCAGAGATTGGCTGCTCCAGGAACCTGAAATCTCCAGTACATGTTATATTTCCAAGAAGCCTCTTTCTCTTTTTTGAGGTTATTTATTATTTTTATTAAGCAACATATCAGAACTGTGAAGAATTCCATATGATCTCTAATAATCTCTTCCCAGTTTCTCCTCAAGTCAATTAGCTAAGGGAATGAATGAACATGGTTATTTCAACCTCTCATATCTGAAAGTTGTATTTAAGTACATTTAGAAGTAGATGGCCTTCAATCACATATTCTTGCCTTGTGTAAAACTAAGTATTATTAAAATAAACTTATGTTTCCGTTGTTCACACTAACGTTCTAGGACATATTGATGTAATCTTGCAGAATTCAGCTGAACCACACGGATGGACAGTAATTATGATTGTATTTCCAGATGTATAGTGCTTTAAACATCCAGATTGTTTTGGTTGGCTTAGAGATATGGTCAGATACAAACCACGTATCTGTAATGGATGGTTCAGCTGGAGATGTACTGAGTAGATTTGTTTCGTGGAGACAAAAAGATCTTCTTAAACGATCAAGAAATGACGTTAGCCATCTCATAATGTAAGTTTTGGTTCAGTGCAAAACATTTCATTCTATCACTATTGTTTATGTATATGGTTTTGTTTTTGTATATGTATGAAAATATAACTGGAGCAAAGTTCATTCAACTTCCGAATTCTTTAAACCAGGAAAAAAAAAACAAACATTAATAAACTATTTCTCGAATGAATTCCTTATTCTCAGTCAACTCACTGAAGCAGCAGATTTATGTGACGGTGGCTTTCAAGCAGTGTTATGCAGCTGTTCATGATTAGTAACAGTGACACCCTGATAGAGGGGAAAAAAAATATTGACTTCAGGAAGACCAAATTTTGTCTTGCAATTATCTGTGTTTCTCAGCAGAAATTACGAACTTTCAAATCCTATTTCAATAACGCCTTCAAACTGCTTTTGTTGTAGAGGGAGAAGTTCTTATGCTGGAGCTGTTGGAATGGCTTTTGTAGGTACCGTCTGTTCACAAGTCCTGGGAGGGTCAATAAGCACTGTAAGTAAATAACTTTGTGAGTTATGTGAGCAGCTACACACGAATAGCTCAACTATTATATATTTTATATGTATATATGTATATTTTATATATATATATATATAGTGCTGCTATACAGAGAGGTCTTACAGTTGAACATTTTCTTCTATGCATTCACACAACTCAAAGTTGTAGCTACTGCTGTTGCCACTGCTGACATTGCTAGTGAAAGATACCTTCAGAACGTGCCCATAAATAATGTACATTTTGTTGACATCTTTGGACAAGTCACCCAGAACTTTGAGTGACTTGGGATGGTACAGTTTCTTTCATTGGGTTTCGTATGTAAAGATTTGTATTTATTATTATACTTACATAAAAAATAAATGTATGTCCCAGTTTCTCTGTTCTTCAGATTCCAGTTTGCTTGACTAATTTAGTCCTGAAATCGTTCTTTGATGGCCTGATCTTAATTCATTTAGCTCAAGATTCTATTGGAGAAGCCCATGTTCATAACTTTAAGGTTCATAAGCACAGTATTTCCTGGGTGGGAATGCTGCCACAACGCAACATATATTTTTTGACTCTCTTTGTGGATAGAGGATGAACATGCATAGCACACGAAATGTGCTATACTCTCAAGTGCCCAGACTTCTCCACAACAGGGCTGAGAATGGGGAAAAATTCTAGATTTGGCAAAATCAGCCAGAAGCTACTTTTTCTCCCCTGCCTTGAGGGCAGAACCACTATTTTCTGCGGTACTTGTCTTTATCATGTGGATGCCATAGTATCAAGAACATTCTCAGAGCCAGATTCTGTCCTTGATGTTTAATAATACGTTTGTCTTTGAAGATGCTGCTGAAATCAATGACATTACTGATTACTTATGGTATTCAGGATACAATCCTGAAAGGAAGAACAGAAAGAGGGGCAGAAAGAACAGAAAGACTAGCCCTAAAAGCAAAATATCAAATTGTTTGGTCTTTCTGCTTCTTTCTTTGCAATACTAGATTCTGCCTTCATAGCTTCCTCAAGACTTGAGGCTTGAATAAACCACTAGGTAGAAACATAGTGATTCTTTTAGTTTCATAAATATTTTTAACACTGATTCTCTTTATTAGTTTAATCATAACAATGTGTTACGTCATGCTACAGTAGTTGCACATGAATTGGGCCATAATCTTGGAATGAAACATGATGATAAAAGATGTCCTGCATCCTACATTATGTACAGCACAGATAAGTAAGATTTCATTTTATCTTATTTTAATCATTTTTACTTTATGTGGTGGCTAGGTCTTATGATCTGTAAAATTCCCGTGAACATTAAAGACCTTTTATGAATGGAGAGTTTGTTTGAGAAGTTTAATCATAAAAATATACGCACTGACTTAGGACTTGACGTCATTTTAACATGTTTGAAACATTACCTGTTTTCTGATCTGTTAATTCTTTTATTTGTAGCATTTGGAAAAGCTCACTTAGATTTTGGATTGTTTTCTTAATTGTTAGTGAATTGCTGATTTTTACCCTGCTGAGAATGCTCTGCATATACTCACTGGATTTGTGCAAACATTTGCCCTTAACCATCATCTAAAACAAAGAGCAAACCAAAAAAAAAAAAAAAAGGCAAGAACAAACTCTCAGCCTGTGTTTCCTTCAGTTCCTTTGTCCTTTGGCTTTTCTTTAAGCGAAAAAGGCCAGATTCTTGTATCTGTTCACACTGGTATTGATAAAGCAGGGTAACTGAACCCTGGACCCAACTGTTGTGGAAAGATGCATTCCTGAGGTCTTAGGGATTCCGAATTGGAGTGATACGTTTTCCTGGAAAATATATTTCATCACATATTTTGGGACTTAAGAAAAATGACGAATTTTTGAGGCCTGTTTCAAACAGGCCATCAGAATAGATATTCCAGCGGTCTCGCTTGCTTCTGAAAGTATCTCTGCATTTGTTATATATGGTATCGTTTAAGTTCAAGGTTTGCCATACTCTAATACAAGCAAAAGTAAAAACAAACTATCTTGTGATCTCTGACATTAAATAACATAGTATTTGTAATAGATTGGATGATACTAAATGGTTTGAGTTGCACTGCGCTTTGTAAGAAAAGTATTTATAAAAAAAGTATTTATAAAAATAACATGTTTTTTAGGGGGTCCAGGAATTTCAGCACCTGTAGTGCAGATGACTTTGAGAATCTTATTCTAAATGGAGGAGGAAACTGCCTCAGAAATCCTCCCAAAACAAGTAATATTTACAAAGAACCTGTCTGTGGTAATAACGTGCTAGACAGCGATGAGGAATGCGACTGTGGCAAACCACAGGTACCGTGAAGTTCTGCTGGATACTTGTTCTTGTCCCGGCCTTTTGGCACACCTTGTTTCTATTTATATATGGGAAATTTTCCTTGTAAGTTTGCATTGTTGCAAGCAGCATGACGATAAATTTTAGAAACAATCTAAAATCATATCTTGATTTTGACACGAACTTAGCTAAGGGCTACTGAATGTCACAGAACGTTGAACCAGTGCCTGAGCAAGCAGTGTATTTCAGTGCAAAAAGTGTGGAAACACTTTTTTTTTTGTCTTTTTTTTGTTTGTTTGTTTGCATTGCTTTTTGCAATATCCGCATATATTGCGATATTTGCGTTGCAATAGATCTGTTATATGGAAGGAAATATATTATCTAGCATTTACTGGATTTCTAAGTGTAACTTTCTAACTTAGCCTCCAAAAAAGCAACCTTTGTCAGTGAAATTCATATTGTCTCAATGTCTGTCTCTCCAAGACTGGGATATTTGACTCGTTCTTTAGGAAACAGAAGTTTCTCAGACCACAAGCAAATCAAAAGGCTGTCAGTAAACCCGGGTTCCATTGTATAAGTCTTCTAACTCATGAAAAGATGCCAACACTTTTCTACATGCAACTGTAAATGCACAGGAAAAAGATGGGAGGAATGATGGGAAGTGTTTCTTGGAAACAAGAGTTTCTGCTTTTTCTGGTGTCCATTTAGAATGTAATTTTCTCCTATATCCCTATGTCATCAATACATAAGTTTTTCTGAGGACTTGTGCACAAGCACGGCCAAACTGTGTGCTGAGGTCCGTTAGAACAGAAGAGGATCAGCCTCAGAATATGAGAGAGAGAGAGAGGGTGTATTTAATGTTTTAGATTTGTCCATGCACTACTTTGCTGATGTGCTTCCCAAATTCCCAGCTGTATAGTGAACTAAAAACACTGTATCCTGCTGTGTGTGGCTGTGCTTTAGGAATGTACAAACCCCTGCTGCGACGCTGAAACCTGCAAACTCACCTCTGGATCCCAGTGTGCTCAAGGGCTCTGCTGTGAAAATTGCAAGGTAGGCTGTGTGTATTTAATGTAAATTGATAATAATTATTGATAATAATTACTAGTAATTTTTATTTTTTAGCATAAAACTATGTGTTAAAATGTGTTTACGTTTAAAACATCATGTGTAATTACTTATGTTTATTAACTTATTTATTGTAGTATCTCTTGACATGTTTTCACATTATCAAACTTAAACTCCGCAACAGAGATCATGTAATCAGAGCATTTGGGTCTAATGACCCTTGGCCAGTGATTTAGACATCAAATGTCACCTCTGTGTCATCGCTCGGAGGTGTCTCAATAGCAGGGATCTCCGCTGTGCAAGCCCAAGCTGCTCCATAGCCCAGAACAGTTGGCTGCTTTTTAAATTTGTATTGTTTTATACATGCATCATCACCACATGAAATTGAGGGAAGTTTTGGACATTCATTGGGTCTGAAGAACTCTCTTGTCTTCCTTAAAATCCTTAGTGCTTCCCAGTTGTCACATTTCTTGCAGGTTTTAGGTTAGAATTTCTGCTGTGCAAAATAAATCTCTGTTTCTAGTTTAAAGTGGCAGGAACAGAATGTAGGTCCAAAAGGGATTTCTGTGACCTCCCCGAGTACTGCAATGGGAGCTATGCCTACTGCCCAGACGATGTTTATATCATGAATGGTTACCCGTGTAACAACAGGAAGGAGTACTGCTACTACGGAGTGTGCCAAAACTTTGATTCACAGTGTGAATCCATATATGGAAAAGGTATTTTTTTAAATTTTATATTTAAAAACTCCTAATAGACATCCCAGATTCTCATCTTTCTTATATTTCTGCGACATTGTGATGGCTCACTAACATTTTCTGTTATTCATACAGGGGCTCGAAAAGCGCCTGATGTGTGCTTTGAAAAAGCCAATATTAAAGGCGATAGGTTTGGAAACTGTGGAATGACAGGTGGAGCATACAAGAAATGTCCTGTTGAGTAAGTCACCAGCAAATCAAAGCTAAGTCTAAAACCTTTAACGTGGAGAATTCATCTTGTTGCAAGCTCTTAAGAGCATGAGATTTAAGAGCAGAGCATTTGAAATGCAAGCTGAGAAGTTCTACTGAGCAGTGTGTTTGCACGGGTAGTGTTTCTTTGTGTCACCTTTCTCTGAGTTCACTCGTCCATTACAGACACAGTCTGTGTGGCAAGATCCAGTGCACTTCTGTGAGTCTTCACAACCTTCCTGCTTGGAGTGTTGTCAACAACGCGTCCGGGGTTTTATGCTGGTCTTCTGACTTCGACTTCGGATCAGATGTCCCTGATCCTGCCCAAGTTCACGAGGGAACAGCCTGTGGAGAGGAGAAGGTAAGAAAAGCCATGGCAGTGCTACGGAACACGTTGCAACAACTGGGAGGTTCTCCCTAACTTTCTAAATGTTAAGTTGCATGATACATTTTCTTGCATTAAGGCATTGTGCGTAATGCATCCTGAACACTTCTTCCAGGCTTGTGTCAATTTTGAATGTGTTAATGCGAGTTTCCTGGGCTACAGCTGTGATGTAAAGCAGAAGTGTAATGATAACGGGGTGAGTAGATGGAGTTTTCATGCCCTGTTTGTGTAAGACAGAGATAGGTGCAAAATCCCTACATAAAACCAAACAGCAGAGAGATTGCTTTGCTTTTTTTCCTGATCTTTACTAAAAGTCCACTGTTCTTTTTATCTTTGTGTTGTTTACATACTGTAAACTTTGTAGCACTAACATTGAAAGACATTTTCTTCTTTATTTTTCAAAGGAATCTTTTTTATATTTCTGAGTTGTCCAATTGTAAAAGGAAAATACTCTTTTGAAAAGGACTTTGATTTATATCTTTCAAAAATTAAAATTAGATCCAGAGTTTGTGAAACTGAGCAGCTATTATTCGAGCTGTGCTCTGTTGAAGGCAAATACAACTGTACTTTATCACAGGTAAATAATAATAATTTTTAAAAAAAGGATTAAATGCTATGGACATGGGGCATCAGTAGCTAACTCAGTGTTTTGGGATGCTATGGAGGGGAAGAGCATATTCCCAGCAGTGTTCTCTTCTCTGTGAAATATTTGTTTTTACAAGCAGTTCTTGATGTGGAAATCCAAGTATACCTTGGAGGGTGGAAGTGGCCACTTTCAGAAAAAGGCTACGGCGGCAGCATCGACAGCGGCCCAGCCCACATAGGTAGGATCCTCCAGCGACAAAATAATCTGCTATACAGGTTTTAACAGGGTGTTTTGTTTGTTTTGGTTTGTTTTGTTTTAAAAGAGACTTTTTCTACTACGTGGGACACTCGGTCATGGGCTGACTTGCAGAATACACAAGTATCTGATGTGTAGGTCTGCAGACCTCAAGGAAGTCAGTTCAGGAGGGAATTTCAGACCCGACCTATTTTGTCTGACATAAACACAACACATCAATGTTTAAAATTACTGCTACGTATTTTAAGTAAGCATTATGACAAAAATAGATGTCAGGTAGGAACACTATAGCTGGAGAATAAAACAGTAGCCCTTATATATCAAAAGGATCTCACTGAGATCTTCTGAGGGAATAATGAGGTGCAAGCAGTGCTTCACTTATCTAAAATCTTTTAAATTTTAGAGATTCTAATAAGAGAAAATGGAGTAAATTTTTGCTGGGCTTTAGACTGAAAGACCATGAAGCCTTTTCCCTCTCTTTGTTTGCAAACAAAGTTCATCTGTAACTTTGTGAGGTAGAAGACAACTCATATTTTTATCAAATTTTATCAAATTTGTCTTTGGGGAAAGGCAAATGCACTGGTTTTTAATCTGTTCATCACTTAAGTAGAGAAAGGTCATGCAAATAGAGTGTGTGTAAGCATTTACAAAACGATTTAGAGTTCTTCACAAAATATGTGAAAATAAGAAGATTGTGCATCACACAACATGGCGTGGATAAGGAGGGAACGTGTGGTTACATCAGGCCAAATCCTGCTCTTCCTGATCAAAAGCATTTTCTAAATGTCTGTGGAGCTACTAATTTTCATATGTAGTAATTTGCAGATCAGAGGTTTTTACAACAGAAAAGCGTTTCTTTAGCAGCAACGTGTTTTAATGAGAAGATCATTTCACACAATTTCAATTTTTTTTTCTAGATACATCCCTTCGAGATGGCCTGCTTGTGTTTTTTTTCCTGGTGTTGCCAATACTGAGTGTTATTGTGATAGCCGTTGTTAAGCGGGATGCAATAAAAAGAAGGTTTTGCAGGAAAAGAAGACGACAGCGCAGGTATTGCTTTATTACAAATGGGTATTTCGGCATTTGAGAGCCTGCTCCAAATTAACTCCAAAGCGAAATATGCCCTGAATTAGTTTCACACATTTTATATATAAAGAATATTGTACCTACTACAAGCCTGCCTTGCTGCTAGTAATGTAGGTCATATGGCTAATCCGATGCTTCAGCCGCGAAATCTCAAGTGTATTTTTTTTTTCTTAAATATATTGCACTTTTCTAATTGTTTTTCATTAATTGTGTTGCACGGGCACAAGGGAATAGAATAGTGAAATTATCTGTCAAGGCCAGGAAGCAGTGGGATTAGAGCCCACATCTTTAAGTCCCTTCATAAACATTGTTTCCCTGAACGTAATTAAGCCAAACGGTGATTTTCGTGATCAATTTTATTTCAGGGATAACAATGTGCAGCAACGAAAACAAAATAATACAACAAGTCAGAATACAAGGAATAATGAGGTAAGACAGATACATATCTGCATTATTTCATTCTGAGTATTTTACAGTGTGTTCTCTCTAATATAATTACTGATGGCTTTATGATTTTTTTGATATATTAATACCATCATAGTCTCCAAGTATTTAAAAGAATTTATAATGTGTTGGGCAAGACTTCCGTTTTGGTGGATGGGCCTTGGGTTTTCTGGCATGGAACAGGCTCCTCTCTGCAGAGCAGCCACAGTAACTTGGCAGCTGGACTCTGCCTCTGTCCATGAGAGAAGCTGCCAACTCAGGCCATGGATCTAGCTCTTCTAAAACAAAATGAAAATAAGCAAAAAAAGGTACGAGAGAATATGAAGAATGTCACAAAAAGCAAAACGTAAGCTCTGAAATACCATTAGCTTAAGGGTCTTCAAATTAAAAAGTATTTACGAAAAGTAGTTATGTGAATATTTAATTAAAATATTTAATAAGAACAGCTCATAGGGACACTTGCAAAACTAACCTACTCTCAGAGAGTCTGTTTTGCGTTTGTGCTCTCAGGTATTTATGTTACCTCATTTTACATTTAAAATCACTTGAAAACTAAGACATGGAGAGATTAGGTGGTTTCTCTACTCACTTCCGAGCATCCAATGGATAGAACACAACATCTCTTCCAGGCCTCGGTTTTCCACCGCTTGTGTTTCCTATAATTCACCTAATAGTTCATTTTGATGGTGAAGCACAGTGCCTGCATTAGCACATGCGCATAAACAGAAATGTGACATTTTGTGTTAAAACACTCACTGCAAGAAATTTTTGTAGTATTTAGTTTTATTAATCAGCTAATGCTGAATAAATAGCCACATTTTGAAATCTGTGTTGAATGCTAACTCTTTTCTCTGTGATATCTTTTCCAGGCTACATCATCGAGTCCTGATTTTTTTACCATATCACATTTTCCTAGTCCAAGGTTTGTAGTTTTTAATAGCTCCTTTACTTAATGGCTGCTGTGTATGCATTACTTTATTTCTACATTATTTTACCAGTTTTACATTATATTTTTACATTACTGGGTTTTCCAGACAGCATCACGAGATAAAAGAGCAAGGTTTCCAGTCAGTGGATGTAGCTGCAGGGCAGCTGGTCCAGGCTTGCTTTAGAAATGGCAGGTTTGCTCCAAGCCATATAGTAGAGCGTCTTTGTCCTTGTTTTCTATTTGTAGTAAATTAAATGACAAAATAGAAATTCTGTTTTATTGCTTGTGCAGAAAGCAGCATAATGGGCCATGGAAATGCTACCAAGGTGGTGTGTGTGTATGCACAATGTTTACAAACGGGTGGTTAAGTATCAGATCAGAGGTTGGCAAGATGGACTGTCTAGCTGCAACGTGTGGTCTCAAGTCTTGCAGTACTTCACAAAATGTGTTTTTCACACTTTAGGCAGCCAGTACAGACCCATTTTCCTGCAGTTTCTTCAAGACCTCTGCAACCCACAGTCCCATCTGCACCAGCTGTCTAAAAGTTCCTTGAAAGCCCTCACATACACAGAGAACCAATCTGAAAAACAGATGAAAGGCAAAAGATAATGGAATGCTCTAATATTTGTTTTCCTACCACAATATGAAGATTTGAGTCCATCAGAGACTTTCTTATGCAATGAAAGCACCTTCTGAAAGCCTTGACCCACTGGAAAAGACGTGATGCTCAAAGTCACTGAACAGAAGATTTCACAATATCCCATTATTTTGATAAGAGCTGCTGGTGGCATTTGTATCTCACCTACCTCACTTTTTTTTTTTTTTTAATCAAAAGCCTAAAGTTTAACTTCTATTAGTTTTTATTCCTACCAACATCAAGAAACAGAACTCTGAAAGCATAGCCTTATGAAACCCAAAGGGAAATGAATTCAATTATGTAATGGGCATAATTTATTCACCTCTACCCATATGCTGCTGTGAAAATGGTACCGTAGATTGGCCTCTTAGGAAGCCTGTGGTCCATCTACCTCCTGGACTACCCTAGAAGCTCTTTGCTGCCCAGAAGCCGTGCGGGGGCTGCTCACTGCAGCCCATAGGGCTTATGCCAAGTTGTGGACAGTTCCTGTGCTGTTGCTCGGGACAACCTTCTCCTCAGTGTAAGTCCATCAAAGCCAGGATCAGGTTCCTACCTCTCCTAACATACTCATCGCATCACTTTTCACTCAGGTAGTCTAGAAAAACAGCTTGATAAAGGGACCCTAATGAAGGAAAGAAACACTGTGGAATAAGTCTGAGCCTAAAGAAAACAAGTTCTACCTGTTCTTATTGACTATGTGGCATATCAGGAAACATGTTATACACTTTAATAATGTTGAATATATTTGCTAGTTACTATAGCTTGGGATTTTTGCTAGAGCGAAATTGTAACAAAAACAACAGATAATTTCTAAAGTTCTAAGCGTGACAAGTAGGAAGTGGCACCGATTTAAAAGAAAATGTAGGAGATTACAACGTTCTTCAAAATGGCAACTAAGAACCCATTATGAAGACTGAACTCCTTGGAAGCAGCAAGATTGATGCAGGGGATCCTTCTCCGTATGTGGGAAAGCCCATGCCACGCCGTGCTCACGGGTAACTGCGGGAGCAGTGAACGCGCAAGGCGATCACCTCCCAGGGGAGCAGCTTTGCTCCCACACGGCTGTTTCGCATAAGAGCTGGACGAGAGAACACACAACAAGGGAGCCCCTTCCAAATAATTGTTGTCTTTATTAGCTCGTGGAAATCTGAAATAACTGTGACTATGAATTAAATATTCCGCTCATGCCAATGGGATTAACAAGCGTAACGTTAATAAAGCGCCAGCAGCCTCCTCTCCTCAG